ACTCAAGCATGGGTAAAAGATAGTTTTCAAAAGAACACAACTAAAGAAAACTTCTTATTATTGTAAAACTCTTACAGTTTTCACTCATTTTCTGAATATTGTTTTGATCTTTGACAGCCATGGACACTTTTACCTATACACATAAACATGTGCATGGGAAATAATAAGAAATTATTCCATACACTAAACAGAGTAATGCAGCCTAAGATCCTTCTCTTTCCACAATAAGATTCTCTACTAGAACTCCCACAGATTCTGGCGACAAAGCTATAACTACATTATTTCTGAGTTAAGCAGGAAAGATGTTTGGTACCTCAAATAATTCAAATGGGCTTCCATGTCGGTATACATCAGTCTTCTTGCTTGTTTCATTGAGAATTGTGCTGACCACCATTGTTCTCCATCCAACTAGCAAAACAGCAGTACTTCCCATTGTCACTAATATGAAATTAGTTGGAGGAATATGCCCCAATGTCACTGCCCTAATAATTAATCCCAGCTGCAAAGAAAGAAGGATATGAAAGAAATTGTCAGACACTAAATATAAGTGAAAAAAACCACTGGGTGCTGAATCGTAATACATGTCCACAGTCAAAACAACATTAAAGAAAAAGGTACTATAAAACTAGCCCTTGCGAGGATAAGAGTTATTTTCAGATGGTTTGAATTGATCACAACAACATCGAACATGGCAATGCTATATTCGCGTTCCCCAACCAGGATTTCAATAATCTCAGCAAGTTGTTTTTGAAATACAAATCTCAGTAAGTGGAGAGTTGAATTTTAAGTCACGAAGAAATATCATAGACGCCAACATCTTTCATCTTAAAGTACAGGGAGAAAATTGTTATCAGTCTTCCCTTTTATCCACCATATACATTTCAGAAAGAGGATCTAATACATGTCCTAATATTGGTATCTGTAGGGAAATTAGACCCGCAACTGAATTACCCCCAGCCCCTTGAAGAAGCACCTCATGTGCGTGCAGGAACCAATGCCCCCGATCCTAAGATCTAGGGTCAGCTCAACGAACTACATGCTTATGTACTAGTTGCCTTAGCAAGAAAGCTGACAGCATAAATAGTCATATCAAGTAGCATCCTTAGAATTTAGAGATCCCACGATCTCATATCCAAATAGACCATTCCCTGGAGCTCGAACACCCAACAAGAAGTCAGCTGAACCAACAGGAAACACATATATCGTCGCCTATCTTGGTGATCAACCCCCTATGATAAAGAATGTGGAACTTCTAGATTATCTAAATAGTTTAGGAATCATAATTCAATTAAATATAAAACTATTGTCTTACTTAGAAGTCTATTATTATAGTTTTAGTAGCTTTAAGATATTAGTCTTATTTGTACTTCATTTTCCTATTTTTATTTCTGAAACTATTTCTTAACTTATATAACATTAATATTTCTTAGTCTAATCTTCCTTGAAAATGATACTTAGGAAACATTATAAATATTTTGTTAATCTTGCTTTTGAGACAGACTTTAGTTATTCAACAAAATACTTTGAGAAAGTTTCTTAATTTCTAGTTATGCTATGCAATCAAATCCTTAAGCATGATATTTAAGATTTCTTATATAGGATTTCAATTATTCAATAAAATACTTTAAGTGAGTTTCTTAATGTTCTAGTTGCATGATGCAATCAACCCCTTAAGCATAATGTTTAAGATTCATTAACAATCATGTCTAGATTTTTAGCCCAGATAGATATCTAAGGAGGCAAATCAACTATTATCCTACATCAGCTTATAATCACAACCTTAAATCCAGATAGAGATAATCCTTTTGGTACCCCCATTTTCCCTGAGCTGCTAGCTTGGCTATGATCCAGATGCTTTCTGCTCTCTTTTCGCTGCCACTACTCCCTCAACTCTTGAAGAGTTCAAACGGGAGACACTCTGGGTTGTCTGCC